TTAGTATTAACACATTCACTATTTATGTTATATTTTTGTACTGTTAAATGTATGTTGAATAACTGTGATCCATGACGAACATCGTACAGCCTGACATTTCCGCCGCAGGTCGGAGGTGTGACAGTTCATCTCTTAACATATGTACATCTATAAATGAACATATTTTGCTATATTTCAAATTTGATTCAAATTCACCTGAAGAGCTTACTTTAAATGTTAACGTATGCTCATTTATAAACATGTTGTTCATATATGAACATCTATAAATGTTGAAAAGCCAATTTGATAATGTTTTTGCTACTAGTTTTTATTCAATTTGAGGAAATATCCATTTGTTCATTTATATTGGTTTAGATTGGTATTAATTAAAAGTTATTTTCAATGGATTTTACATATATATAAACATATGTTCATACATGAACATACTTTTTTGTTTGTGTGGTTTGACAATGTTTTTTTGTTATGTATTGAACCCACCATATACATATATGCACATTTGTATTTATGCATATATAAAAAATTTGATAACTCTTCTTATATTTTTTTGTAAAAAAAAACATCTTAATAAGATAAGACGTTGTAAAATGTCATTAACTAGAAAAAATGTTTTTTTTTTTGGAATGATATGCATATACACACATTTTACATATATAAATAATGCATATGTACACAAACAAAAATATGCATGTGTGCACAATTGGAAATGTGCAAATGTGTATATCACAAATATACACATGCACAATTATGGGTGTGGTGTGTATATTTGTAAACATTTTTACATTTTAAAAAATGTCTTAATAGGCTAAGATGCTGCTAAAGAATTAGATTTTGTTGTAGAAAAAAATGTTTTGTTTCTTTCAAGTGAGGTGTATATGTGCATATTTTACTTTAACAAACACAAATGTGCATATGTGCACATTACCACTATAAACATGTAAAAGAAACATTAATATGCATATGTGCACAAAGACAAATATACATATATGCATAAACATAAACGAGTGTGTGTATGTCACACATATGCACAATGTGTTTATATATATATATATATATATATATATCTATATATATATATATATATATATATATATATATATATCCTTGAAAACATTATATATTACGTATATATCATTCCAAAATTCATAATTAGATATATATCCTTGTTATCTTATTAAACTCACCCTTATATCCAATCCTATAATTTAAGAGGCATAAATTAATTTAATTATATTTAAAAATCTTAAATACATATACATTTACCGGAATACCCTTTGCATATTATATCCCAAATCAAATTCTATTATTTTGCTAGAAATCGTTAATCAGGGCGATCAACCTCCTCGTGATCGATCAACCTTTCTCCTCCGCCAGAAAACTAGTCCCGTCTCCTCCCATCTTCCGGTCACCTCACCTTCTTCCCTGTTAGCCCTCTAGCGGCTACCACCATTGGTTTGATACCTAGGTTAACCCTCCCCTCGTTCACGAAAGATGCGCCGTCACCCACACATTCCCCCTCCTCTTATCACCGGTAGCCACCAATTGAAGCCATAAACGTCAATTCCAAGTATTTGGGAGCATCAAGTCTCAATTTCAAGTACAAGTAGGTATCAAACTTATGTTTAATTTTGTATGTTTTGATTGGCTTCTAAATTAGGGATTTTATGTATAATATTTTTCCGGCAAGCTTCTCCAACTCCGAGGTGGCTTCTCTTTCTTCAGTTTGCAATCTTTTTGAGTTTTCTTTAATTTTACAAACGATTTTATCTTCTAAGCTTTCTTATCATTTAGGTTATTGATGAATATTATTATTATCATAATGTCTGCCTACAGAGATGGAAAATTAAGAATTATTTTACTATGCTTTGAATTTCTACTTTAAAGTGCCTTGGAGTTCGTTAGTCTTAAATGACTACATATTGACTTCTAGTTTGATAACTTTATTGTTGGGTTTTAACATAGGAAGAAGATAATGTTTGCTTGCCTTTATTATTGAAACTGAGTTCTAGGTTGATAACTTCAATGAGTTCTCACTCCAATCTTCACCATAATATTCTGATATTTGAATTAGTCTCTAACATTAATTATATTTTGGATGGAAGTTTTATGCCTAAACAGTCTTTGCCAATAGTATTGTCACAAGAAAAAGAATTAGTTACAAAATTTTAAAGTACAATACTGTTGGAGTCTGTTTATGATTTTGAATCATTCACAGCTACAATTGATTTTTCCCAATTGACTGTTACTGTTCATTGTTGTTACTATAGATATATTGTTTAGTATGACAACATAAGATAAAGCATTTTAACGATCACAAATTCTGTTCAAGTGGTGATATCTACTTCTGACAATGTCTTCCTCTTTGTTTTCTACACATGGCACCATACTAGCTCCTGAACAAAGGAAGATCTTTGTTGATTCAGATAACTCAGATTTCTTCCATAACAAGAATAACCATGTGTCAATGAACAAATGAAGGTTATTATCCAAGGATACAATCTAATGTAAAGCACTAGAGGTCCAAAGCCAACACACATTCTTGAAGGGAGATAAATTCCAACTTGAAGATGTTTTGTCAAACTAGTTTTTTATTGCAATAGATTGGTCATTTTTCGACCCTGTTTGTAACTTTCACAGCATCATGCTGTTTTTTTATATTTAATGCATTTTAGCAATTCATAAAAAATAAAAGTTTGATGTTATTTCATAGTTCTCTGTGCAATGATGATAATTTGGTAACATGTTGTATATGTTGTAACATGTTGATTGTACATCTTATAGTCCAAAATTATTACAAAAATGGTCATTTTGATAGGAAAAAATTACATAAATGGTTCCTATAGTAGAAAAACAATTGCAGAAATTTTCCCTGTGGTTGAAAAACAATTGCAGAAATGGTCTCTGTGGAAGAAAATACATTGTAGAAACAGTGCCTGTTGCAGAAATACATTACAGAAATAGTCACTATGACACAAAATCTTTACGAAAGGTCCTTTTGGCAGAAATGCATTACATAAATAGTCCATGTGGCATAAAATATATTGCAGACATAGTCCTTGTTGCAGAAATACATTACATAAATAGTCCCTATGGCATAATATCTTTTCGAAATGATACCTTTGGCAGTAATTATTACAGAAGTAGTCCCTGAGCATTAAATGCATTGCAGAAACAATCCTTGTTGCAGAAATACATTACATAAATAGTCCTTATGGCATAATATCTTTACAAAATGGTCATTTTAGTAGAAAACATTTACAGATTTGGTCCATGTGGCAGATATACTTGACAAATGTAGTCATGTGGCAGAATGTTTTTTTTACAGAAAAGGTCCTTGCTGGAAAAAAAATAATTACAAAAATGGCCCCAAAATAAGTACACATATTTGATCAAATTTTTAACGGTTTTTCCCATTACAAATCCTACCGAACAACAAAATTAAAAAATTAAACAATCCATGCAGAAAGCATTGAAGTACTAAAATGTAATCAAACTCATAACAAAAACTCATGATCTTTTGTGTTCTTTCCTATTGCTAGAGGGTGCTTCATCAAAACCTTGATGTGCGGGATTTTTGCAAGTCCTTTGATGGTGTCCATACATACCACAACGCGGACATTTGTGTCTTTTCTTGGACTCATCATGTGGTACAATTCTATTCTTTTTAGGTCGTCCAGGCGGCCGTTTTATAATAGGTGGATATATCTTGTCGACTGTCTCTATATATACACCCATTGATATTTTCCAGGCATCAGACCAATTTCTAAAGCGTATGCTTCTTTAAATTTGTCGACTGTGAAATATGTATCAACATATTTGTCCCAACTAGGCTCCCTTGTGAAAGCAATAAAAGCAGCTGTATGCACACACGGAAGGCCTGTAACTTGCCATTTTCGACAACTATATTTTTTCTCATCCAATATAACATCCCAACGATTTCCTTTGTACTTCACTTCCGCTTTATTATCACTGCTTCTACAAACTTGAAATTCACCCTAAGTTCTACATGAGAAAATAAAACAAGAACAAACTAATATCAAAATATATATATATATATATATATATATATGTTTAATGAAAAAACAATTATGTATATATATAGTTCCTTAACTTGCCTTAGTGATTGTTTTGAGATACTTCTTTGCTTTTGGAACTAGTGGTCCTTTCCATTTTTGTACCTTACTTCTTTTCTTGTCAAATCGTTCCATAAGCTTTTCTCTAATTGCATCAAGGAGATCAAGCATCGGTTTATAACGTATGTCACCTACCCAAGAGTTAAAAGTTTCTGAAATGTTGTTGGTAATGTAATCACACTTGACAAGTGTGTCAAACTTACTTCGACTCCATATCTTTTTATGGTTCTCATTCAAATATGAAATTGCATCTGCACATTTAGTAGCAATTTCATTTAACAATCTATCACGCTTGACTAACAGAGTAGGTATTTGCAGCCTCCCATAGCTTGCTCATGAAAAAGTCACCTCGAAAATGTTTCTTGAAGTTGCTACATAAATGTCTTATGCATTCTCGATGCTCAATATTAGGATAAACCTGTGTAATAGCTAATTCCAAGCCTTTTTGCATGCCAGAGGAGATAACAAGACCATTTGGTGTACCAATCGCTTTTTTTAGTGACGTAAGAAACCAAGTCCATGATTTTGTATTCTCTGCCTCAAGCACACCATAGGCTACTGGAAACATACCATTGTTACCATCGATACTTGTGACAACGGCTAACACACCATTAAATTTCTCTTTCAAATGACAAGCATCAAGCCCAATTTAAGGACGACAACCGGCAAGAAACCCCTTAGAGCATGCTGTTAATGATATAAAAAAGCGTTGGAAATGTTTCGTTTCACCCACTCTCTGTAAATCAATCTCCACCACACTTCCTGGATTTCTTTTTTCAAGTTCTTGTTTGAAATCATATATATGTACATAAGAGTCATCCCACTTTCCATACATATCGGTATAAGCTTGTTCTCTTCCTCTAAAGACTCTCATATATGGTCTTCAACATTGTAGGTATGCATAAGCCACTTTTTTAGGTCGGCAGGAGAGACATCGCCTTCAGATTTCAACTTGTCGGTAACAACATCATCAATCCATCCTTGAGTGGCATGTTTGTTACCGCTCTTGTTGCTTCGAGTACAAGAATGAGTTTCTATAACTTCTTTACCTACAAAATTGAAAAAAAACATATAATTATGTTAACATAATAACAATGTCGACGAATGTAGTATTTCTCAAATTTTATACTTACTTCAAAAGTAACCCCATCTTGTGTAAGAGAAGCATGAATTCTCCACTTACACTTTTTATCTCCACAACATGCGGTAAGTCTTGTCAAATCACTTTTCTCAATGACATACTCAAATTCATTTGTTAGTGCATAATGATTCAATGCTCTTCTAAAAGCAATTACACTTGGGAATTTAGAATTCACTTTCGTAAATGGATTTAACTTACTATATGCATAAGTTTCGTCATAATTTAGAAGCTCATATTCATTATCGGAATTATGAAGACTATGATAGCTTTCTTGACTTGGACAAACTGAGTCTGTCTCATTTTCATCATCAGATTCATCATTACTAGCTGAAGTACCTGAAACCAAAACTGAAAACTGTAAGGACGAAGCTTAGTGAGCTACCCAAACTACCACATACCTTACAAAGCACATATAACAGATAACATAACCATGGGACTACTCCCAGCTGCATTGGGACGAATCCCGACATCGGCTTACCCGACATCGGACTCCTGTCCGGCATCGGGCTCACCCGGCATCCTTTCGCATCGGGCATTGGGCTCACCCCGGCATCGGGCTTACCCCGGCACATACAAAGCATAATCACATAAGCTGCATCGGCCTTGCCCCGGCATCGGACCGAAGCCCGAAACAAATAACATATAACACATAACTAGCATACATCGGGCTTGCCCGACATCGGACTTGCCCGACATCGGACTTGCCCGACATCGGACTTGCCCAGCATCGGACCGGAGTACGGGACACATAACATATAACATAATCGCATATACTGCATCGGGCTTGCCCGGCATCGGACCGGAGTCCGGGACACATAACACATACACATATACATGCATGAATCACAAAGACATCAAGCATAATTAACTACTTCTCGGGAACGCCCCGGCATCGGACCGAAGTCCGGAAACATATAAACTGCATCGGTCTAACCCCGTCATCGGGCTCAGCCCGACATACTCTACAACTTAAACGGGCTGACATTATGGCCGTAGACCCGTTACTACTGGAAGGAAACTCACCTCGAGTGACTGACTGCTGCAACCCTGGGTGAGGAATCTCTGTCTGCTGCTCCGGCGACTCTCCGGCTATAAATTTCCATAAAGGTACTTAGTCAAAAACCGATAATTACTCTTAGTGTAAAATGACCATTTTACCCCTGGCTAAAGTCAACATCCTGGTCAAAGTTAACACCCGGTTGACCTGACTCGCCGAGTTGGTTCACCAAGTCGTCGAGTCCCTATTCTTTCATCTGTTCCAAACCCCGAATCTACTCGTCGAGTCTAGCATGAACTCAACGAGTTCTCCTTCAATCATAACATCAGGACTATCTTCATCTGGCTCGCCGAGTTCATCCTTGAACTCGTCGAGTTCATCTTCATCATATGAGTGTGACGAGCCTGTGACTCGCCGAGTTGTATGAACAACTCATCGAGTCCGTCTTCATGGGTTGGGAGATTGCATTGGACTCATCGAGTATGTTCATACACTTGCCGAGTCCCATGGTTTCCATGTCCATAACTACGTCTATTTTGTTGAGTCCCCCTTCTGGACTCATCTAGATCCCTTCGAATAAGAAAATATTTGGGTAACCAAACCCCCGACTCGCCGAGTCACAAGAACGACTCGTCGAGTCAACTAATGTCCATGCTCATAACTCGATTTCTGTTGTGCTAATCTCATCCAAAGGGTAGATCTAGGCTCCTAAGGTCGATATAACACGTAAAGTCATGAACTTTACGTCCATGCATGGGACTTTTAAGCTTAAAAGACCAAAAATAGGGTCTATTACATGCATGTGGTTCTCATGGCCATAAAGTTGGCACCTTTATGCCATGAGAACCCTCCAAGGTTCCAGATCTGAAGCATTTACCCTATATTACACTCTACAATCCGAAATGGCTTGGAAATGCCCCCAAAGATGTCAAGATTCAAGCCTCAAAGATGATCTAACAAATAAGGAGTCAAGGTAGGAGCTCTTTACCTTAAATAACTGGAAGTGCAACCACAACTCTGGATCCACTGACTTGCTTCTTGATTCCAAGCTTTCCCTTCCTTCTTCTAACTTCAAATCACAAAGAAAGGCACAAATTGCTCAAGAATGCTCACAATTGATTAGGGTTTCGAGGACAGAGCTTGAAGGTGATAGAGGCTAGGGTGGAAGCCTCATAAGATGTTTAAATAGGGTGCAAAAACCCTCCAATTTAGGGTTTCACTCAGAGAGCTCCTACTCGCCGAGTCAGTCTTCCGACTCGTCGAGTAGGTCACTTAATCCCCCGACCCGGGGTCGATCCCACTCGACGAGTTGGGCCTCCAACTCGTCGAGTTCAAGGGTAAAATAAGGAGTTTGGCTTGAATTTAAATGTGTACCTGAGACCGGGTGTTACAATTCTCCCCCACTTGTCTTAGACTTCGTCCTCGAAGTCTGTTGTCTCTGAAAACAACTCTGGGTAGTGCTCCCTCATTTCCTCCTCGGGCTCCCACGTCCACTCCGAACCCTTGTGGTGCTGCCACTGCACTTTCACTAACTCTACCCTCTTCTTTCTCATCTCTTTCCTCTTGCGATCTAAAATCGCCACGGGTCTCTCGATGTGGTTCAGGCTATCATCAACCTGAATGTCCTCAAGGGCTACCACTGCTGAATCATCCACTAAGCACTTCCGCAACTGAGAAACATGGAACGTGCTGTGGATCTGGCTGAGCTCTGCTGGAAGATCTAACCGATAGGCAACCCGACCCACCCATGCCAAACCCCTAAATGGACCAATGAACCTGGGGCCCAGCTTGCCCCGCTTCCGAAATATGATAACACCCTTCCAGGGTGACACTTTCAGGAGGACCATATCGCCCACCTAAAAATTCCAAGTCCGAACGCCGCTTGTCGGCGTAACTCTTCTGCCGACTCTGAGCAGTCTGGAGCCTGCTCCGGACTTGCTGAATCCGCTCCGTGGTCTTGAGTACTACCTATGTACTCCCCATGACTCTCTGACCGACCTCACCCCAACAGATTTGGGTCCTACACTTCCTCCCATAGAGCATCTCGAAGGGAGGTCGGTCTATACTGGAGTGATAGCTGTTGTTATATGAAAATTCCGCGAATGGAAAATACGTATCCCAACTGCCACCGAAATCTAGCACACATTCCCGAAGCATGTCCTCGAGAGTCTGAATCGTCCTCTCGTTCTGCCCGTCCATCTGAGGGTGGAAAGCGGTGCTGAAATGGAGACGAGTACCCATCTCGTCGTGAAACCGCTTCCAAAACCTAGAAGTAAACCGGACATCTCGATCTGACACCACCGATACAGGCACTCCATGACGTGCCACTACCTCTCGCACATAAATCTCGGCCAACTTCTCAGCCGAGATGCTCTCCTGGATCGGTATAAAATGGGCGCTCTTGGTCAACCGATCCACGATGACCCATATCGATTCAACCCCACGTGCGGTCCTGGGAAGCTTAGTAATGAAGTCCATAGTGATATCCTCCCATTTCCACACGGGAATGTCAAACGGCTACACCTTGCCATGGGGCCTCTGGTGCTCTGCCTTGACCTTCCTTCAGGTTAGGCATCTCTCCACATACCAAGCTACGTCCCGCTTCATGCAGGGCCACCAGTAATCGGGCCGAAGATCTCTGTACATCTTTGTCGCCCTTGGATGGATGGAGAACCGCGACTTATGGGCCTCCTCCATCAACACCTGCCGTACTCCGCCCCAGTACGGTACCCAGACCCTCCCATGCAGGGTCAACAATCCTCGGCTATCGAAATCAAACGAAGCTACTCGGCCCACTATCCTCTCGCACTTTTGGTGCTCCTCCTTCAGGCCCTCAACCTGCACCTCCCTAATCTGCTCTAGCAGTGGAGTAATCACTGTCCTCAGACAGATATCTCGGATCGGAGCTGCTACTGCCTTGCGGCTCAGGGTGTCGGCCACTACGTTGGCCTTCCCCGGGTGGTAAAGGATCTCACAGTCGTAATCCTTTACCACATCCAACCACCGCCGCTGCCTCATGTTCAGATTCGGCTGATCCATGAGGTACCTCAAACTCTTGTGGTCCGTGTAGATAGTACACCGGACCCCGTAGAGGTAATGCCGCCAAATGTTGAGGGCGAACACCACCGCCCCCAGCTCCAAATCATGCGTCGGGTAATTAGCCTCGTGAGGTTTTAATTGTCGCGAGGCATAAGCTATCACATGCCCCCGCTGCATCAACACTGCTCCCATACCTATGATCGAAGCGTCACAGTAGACTACAATGTCATCTACTCCCTCTGTGCGAGGCGGCGATGCCTGAGCGTTTGAAAGGATGTCTGCTGCTCAGGACCCCAACGAAACACCACCAACTTCTTGGTTTAGTCGGGTCAGCGGGACTGCTATCTTGGAGAAATCCTGGATGAATCTCCTGTAATACCCTGCCAAACACAAGAAGCTCCAAATCTCGGATGGAGACTTCGGGACCTCCCACTGCATCACGACCTCTATCTTGGCCGGATCGACTAATATACCATTCTGGTTGACGAGGTGTCCCAAAAACTGCACCTCGCGCAACCAGAACTCGCACTTAGAGAACTTTGCAAAAAGTCTCTCCCTCCTTAAGGTCTCTAGCACCTCTCTTAGGTGCTCCTCATGCTGCTCCTGAGTCTTGGAATAAACCAAGATGTCGTCAATGAATACTATCACATACCGATCTAGCATCGGTCTGCATACACGGTTCATGAGGTCCATGAATGCGGCTGGAGCGTTAGTGAGCCCAAATGACATCACCACAAACTCATAATGACCATAGCGGGTCCTAAAAGCGGTCTTCTGCACATCATCATCTCTGACCCGCATCTGGTGATATCCGGATCGTAGATCAATCTTGGAAAACCAAGATGCTCCCTGAAGCTGGTGAAACAAGTCATCTATCCTCGGGAGTGGGTAACGGTTCTTCACCGTTACCTTATTTAGCTCCCGGTAATCTATGCACATACGGTGCGACCCATCCTTCTTCTTCACAAACAGGATCGGGGCTCCCCATGGTGAACTGCTCGGCCTGATAAAACCCTTGTCTAGCAGCTCTTGCAGCTGCGTAGACAACTCCTGCATCTCGGGAGGAGTCAACCGATATGGTGCCTTGGCTATCAGAGCCGTACTGGGGACCAGGTCAATCCGGAACTCAACCTGTCTCTCCGGAGGTATCCCAGGCAAATCCTCCGGGAACACATCTGGATACTCTCGTACCACCGGTACATCATCGAGTGTCGTCTTATCCTTATCTCGTGTATCCATGACATACGCGACATATCCCGCACAGCCCTGCTGAATGTGACGTCTCGCTCTCGCTGCAGAACAAAAAACTGGTCTGCGCTGTGGCCTCTCGCCCTGAATCACTAACTCTCCCCCACTGGGAGTGCGAACTCTTACCAACTGCTACTCACAATGTATCACTGCCCCATTGGGGCTCAACCAATCCATACCTACTATAACCTTATTCCCTCGCAGGGGAATAGGAACCAA